GCACATACTAAGCTGTAGACTGATATTTTTTTTATAATTTTAAAACTAGATACTGAAAAAGATTTGACCCGTTTCGTAGTGGACATTAGAAAAAATACGGTATCACTCTGGTCCATATTATGTGCTCAATTTTGTTTGCCAACAATTTAACTGTCGTTATAAAAGCATCACTTCTATTGTAAGACCATAATGTTTATATCCAGTCCATTTCTTGCAAACATTGATTATATAAAACTGTTTATTCGCAAATTTAATGATTTCGTTTCGTAGTGAACATTTTGTCAGGGACACACCTGCTAAAATTAAAAAATCATTTGTCTAAACATACTTTTGAATAATTATAGCACTTATATTAAGTAAAAATAACATTAATTTCTACCTTTTTTTTTACAATATTTTAGAGTGTGAATGTTGAGTTGGAGACTTAGGGACATGCCATTTTGGTTATTTTTAACCATTCAGGAATGCATATCTTATAAATCCCTCTAAAAATAGTATGTTTCTTTGCTTAAAAATGTTAAATGTAATTAAATGTACTGACTGCACAAAAAATTACTTGTAAAGATCAAAAACATTTTTTTAAAGTGGCTGGGACAAGAATTCTCGTTTTTATTGAAAAACGCCCACTATAATAAAAATCGCAATTTTCATGTTTTTTTAAGTATTATGATTTTTCTTCAGAAATTACATTATTGTCATGCAAAAAATCCAATTAAAGGTCATTTGTGCTCTTATTACATTCCTTTGTGGTCCTTTGTGCTACATTGTGCTCCTTTGTGCACAAAGGAGGTCCTTTGAGGTGTTTAAAGAGAACCTAAAGGAGCACCTGTCTTGTGATATATAGTTATATACAACTACTCAACCGTGAATAACTGCGTGATTGATATGGAAGTTTGACAATTATCTCATCTCTGCTAATCAATATATCTGCAATTCACCTTAAAATTCATTTGTGAGTTCAAATGAAGTGGATGTAAGCAATAGTTGGACAACAAACAGACTTCAACAATGAGAAAAAAACGTATACCGTATGGTCGGCTATAAAAGGCCCCAACATGAAAAATTTGAAACAAATTTAACTAAAAGACTAAAGGGGGGGTAAAACATGTTTGTGAGCGCTCAACCCTCCCTTTTACCTGGGAGAGGGGTGTAACAGCAAAACAGAAGAACAAACTATAAAAATCAGTTGCAATTGGCTCAAATCAAAAGATTTGTCGATGCACAAAAATAAGTAACATAAAAACCATTGGAATGTGTGTTCCTACAATAAGTAAAAAGGAAAGTTCATCATAATGGTTTAGCTATATATATAAAAAAAAAAGGAGCACTATCACAGATGCACAAGAACGCAAATGTGTAAATGCAACGACATAAATATTTAGTGAAAGCTGACAACAAATGTAGAAAGGAGACGAGTCTTTTGTTGTCGAAATAACACTAGTTTTGTCTACTCATTAACATCGCTCCATCCAATCGCAATATATAGAGGAAGATCTTTGAAAAACAAGTTGCAAAAAAATTTTTCTGAGAATTGAAGGAGTATGTCATGTATGTCTGGTGGATGGAATAACATATACTTATACACTGGACTCTTATTTATAGTGGACTGAATTATTTTACACATCAAGCTGAAACAGAAGATATACAACACATGACATGCCAAAGTATCATTTTATTTCAGTTAATTGATTTCATTTCAACAGAAATACTGACCATTTTGGTAATTATTTGAAGTTTCTGAGTGTTCACGTCCTATTTCTCTTTTTATTCAGTTACACTTGAAGGTTGTATTTGAATCTAGTTAACTTTTTACAGAGTTCTGGTTCTTGATCCTAAAGAAAATCAAGAAAGTTTCAAGATTTTTCAGGCTCTCTTAAACATGTTAAACAGATATGTTGAGATCTCACCTGTTCATTGGAAAGACTTTTATATATTTGGTATCAAGTTCCTACTTTATATCTTGATGATGTCTGATAATTTATTGCAGATAGTAACAGCTTTGAAACTTGGAAAATCTATGCAATCTGTTTTTGATGGACTTTTCACAACTGAATTTGAAATATCAGTTTTATTTTGATATAAAATTGCTTCAGTCAAAATGACATTTTACTTTGCTGTTTATCATGTTTATCAAAAACGGTCAATAACCCTTGTACAAGGCTAATTTTTGAAGACATGAATTTTAGCGTATAATTTTTGGGAAAAGTGAAAATAGATGTATAATGATTGACAGAAATTTTTTATCATGTGTTGAAAAGAGACATCAAAATGCAGTGTTTTTAATATCTGAAGAGAAACAGATAGCTACGTTTAGTAGATTGACTTCAAATAGAAACCTTCAACCCTTTATACTGTAGTTTTTTTTAATTACATTTTGGACACGTCATCAACTATTTTATAACTCATTACAGTTTACTACCAAACAGAATTCATTTTAACATACATGTAACTGTTTATTAATAATTTAAATCCCATGGGATTTCATTTGTCCGATGGGTTTATTTCTTGTTCCATGGGATAAAATAAATTCCACGAAACCAAATAAAATTCCATGGGATTTACTCAAAATACCGTGGGATAATGCAGAATCCCATGGGATTATGCTAAATCCAACGGGATCATGAAATCCCATGTTTATTTAAATTCAAATTACAGAAAGAACTTTATAGTCTAGAGCTTTAAATGAAAGGCAACAGTAGTATACCGCTGTTCGAAATTCATAAATCGATTGAGAAAAAAACAAAACCGGGTTACAAACTAAAACTGAGGGAAACACATCAAATATAAGAGGAGAACTACGATACAACAGAAACACAACATTGAAATGTAACACACACAGAAACGAACTATAATATAACAATGGTCATTTTCCTGACTTGATACAGGACATTTTAAGAAAAAAATGGTGGGTTGAACCTGGTTTTGTGGCTAGCCAAACCTCCCGCTTTTATGGCAATGTTAAATATAACATTAAAATAACAACATTACAGGACAGGACTACAATACAAATAAATGGGAGAACATATAGGACAGAGAAACATACGAATAATAGCTAACAAAAAGTAACAGTTTTAAAATCTAATACGCAAGACGCGCGTTTCGTCCACACAAGACTAACCAGTGACGCTTAGATAAAAAAAGTATGAAAGCCAAAACAAGTACAAAGTTGAAGAGCATTGCGGACCAAAAGTTCCAAAAAGTTGTGCCAAATACGGCTAAGGTTATATGTCTGGGATAAGAAAATCCTTAGTATTTAGAATAATTCATACTTTTGCAAACAGTTAATTTATAAAAATGACTATATAAAAGATATACATGATAACACCGAAGTGGTGACTAACTACAGAATAAAAACGGATACATAAAACAACATAAACCAGCACATAGAAATTCACAGCCGAGTTAGCCAAAGAGATCAACGCTAAACAAAGGTGACGTCACATTTGAATTTCTGAAATTTCCCCAAAACAGGATAGAATTAGGATAGAATTCAAGATTTGGTTTATAATACTCATATTACATTTATTAATAACAATGAAAACTAGATTTGTAATTGCTAGCAATAACGGATGGTACCCTCGTTCCCTTATTGCCAGGATAACGGCAGCCATTTTGAAATTTCCAAAGTCGAAATCTACACATGCCAGTCATCATTACTGTAAATTCTCAGAAAGTTTGAAGCATTTTGAAAATTTTTGACATTTTGGCTGTTTCCATACTAACGGCGGCCATTTTGAAAATTCTAAAATTATTTATCAACTCTGCACATGCCAGTTAACATTTCTGTAAAGTTTCATTAAGTTTGGTGCATTTTCAATTTTTTTTAGTTTCCATGGTAACGGTAGCCATTTTCAAAATTCCAAAGACAGGTACCTCTTTGACAAATTACATCTTACATACCCATAAAGTTTCATTGGGTAAAATCTAGTATTCTCCAAGAAAATGCCGCTTTTGTATTTTTTCCCATAGGGCCAATGTTAAACTTTCGCCCTGTTTCCATGACAATGGCGGCCATTTTGGAATTTCTAAATACTAAATTTTTATCTAGGCATACCGGTTAACATTTCCATAAAGTTTCATCCATTTGAGTCTTATAATGAAAGATTTGGATTTTGGATTTTTTTTTACATTTGTGTCGTTTCCATGGAAACGGTGGCCATCTTGGAAAATTCCATAGTCAGATGCACAACTTCAGATGGTGCTTTACATTAAAGCATAGTTTCATCAACATTGGTCCTTTCAATTTCGAGAACTAGCGCGGACAAAAAAAGTGTGGTAGAAAAAAAAAAAGAAAAAAAAAAAGAAAAGTAGAATAACAATATGTCACCCCAACTCCGTTGAGGGTGCCATAATTACAATACTAATTAATATAAAATGTGGTAGTAATAAGATAATTAATAGTATTATCTAGCTATGTCTGTGTTTCTTCTAAATCAAACTGTAAACCAAATATATCGTATAAATTTTGTTGACCCAAACTAAAATCTTATTAACGAACAGGGTGATTAATAATCTTTACCATAACACACGAATACAACAGAAAAAAATAAGATTTACAACTACAAACGATAAGACATTTGACAAAATCCGATGAGAATAACAAATATAACATCAAAACTAAATACATGAATTTTGGATAGAAAGGTACCGTGACACGTCTTATAGCGAATTCACACTCAGTAAAAATAGTCACAATCGGGAATATGTCTGGGATTTTGGTATTTTGTAAATCCCATGTCGTTTTGCACATTTTGGTCAATTACACGACACTGTAGGTCTAAGAAAGTGCGGCTCAGGATTTCCAAATACTAGTAAGTGTTTTGCAAATTTCAAGTGTTCAGTGTTTCAAAACAAAAGATTGTCCTTAGAAAAGAAATCCATGCTCCAATAAAAGAAGAATGTCGGTACCTTACTACATGTTGTAATTAACAAAATTATTATTGCTTATTGTAATGATACTGTTGTTGGGTCCTGAACACACTGTCCATATCAATACTTACCCTTGATTTCCATGACGATATCCAAATCGTTTCCATATCCTTGAAGATTTTTTTTATACTTAGCACATATATTCTGGACAAAAGTTGGGTCTTTAAAATGGTTTGGATCAGGATAACCATGATGATTAGGGTCTTGGGGTGTCTAAAACAAATACAAGATAACTTAAGCAATAATTGATCATTTTATTTCAACATTGTAGACTAGAATATAATTCAGGACTAAATTCTTTTTTTTTGTTAAACTTAAATTGCCGATCATTTTTTCTGTTTACATGTTTTACATTTTCTCTTTATCTTTAATGCTAAAAAAAAATCGATAAACAACGTCATGTAGGGGAACTAACTCCGGACCTATCAAGTGATTCTATCAATATATTATAATTATTAAGATAATAGACAAAACTGCAAAAAAAATAAATAATAATAATAACATTCGTCGTTAAAGCGCAACAAATCCTATAAGGAGTTAACTGAATATTTCGACAAGATGGCTAATTTTTAGACCTTGTCTTGCTGACAATTTTTGCCGGTTAAAGTTTCTGTGTATCTATAATAGTTTTCAAGATAATAGGTAAATCAAATGGTACAATTCGTCGTTTAAGAGCAATACCTACTGCATGTACTATAAGAAGTCGTCTGACAATTTTGATGTTTATAGGCAGTAGTTAGATCACATCATTTTAAACATATTTGGACTGTAAGATTTTCTATATCTGTAGCAGTTTTCAAGATAATAGAAAAAACGTGCATTTCCCTCCCTATGTTCTATTTTAAGCTATGTTGGCAATGTTGGTCTGCAGGTTTGGTCATCAGAATCATTTTGTTTAAACAAGATACCCTAGTGATGATTATAGCTAAGTTTGGTTAAACTTGGCCAAGTCGTTTCAAAGATAAAGATTAGTAATAAGAAATAAAACTTAAACAAACATATAAAAACTATTTCCCAAATTTTATGGGAAAATATATCAAAACGACAAGATCCATGCAATGTTAACATCCATTAGCTTACACTCGTTAGATATGTAATATTAAACATATTATAAACCGAACATTTACAAAGCAAAAAGAAAAAAAAAACATTAAGCAATGAGTAGTTAATATTTTGTGCTTACATTTTGGAATATCCGTCCGTTCAAGTCACGGTTCAGCCATCTACCACTTTCAGTAGCAATTGACTTTGCCTTGGCAATGAAATTCTGAGAATCCAGTCCATTATGGCCATCCCAGCGGTCAGTCTCGAAATGTGTTCGACCACCTTGTGATAGATAACTTGGATATATGGTGACTTGGTAGTCAGTCCCTAATACAGGAACTACCAGAAACAGCCATAGCCCGACTTTACCACACATCGTTTAGTCGTAAAACAAACACTTATCTAGATAACACCTAGTGCATTGAAACTGAGGCTACATCTTTTTATATTAGACACGATTTCCGATAAGAGGTTCAATGAAGGTATGATTGTTGACATAGCTCATATACAATTCGACTTCTGTATATAGCTGTTATTCGGTATTATGTTAGTCAATTGTGTCAGCTATTGCACTGCCTTCTTCAAGCATTTTTTAACCGACACAATTATTTAGTACATTCGGAACCCCTTTTTATAAGTACTTTCTTTATGTTCTTAGTTTTTTGTATCGTATTATAGAATTATTTCTGTTAATTTGACTGTAGGTATTTTAGGTTTTGTTGATTATCGTTGTCTACTAGTATCCCTTTTCATTTTTATATTTTCTTCTATTAGGCTTGCTTTTTTGGTAGATAAAGACAATAGGAATAGTTCTAGCTGTAGCGTAAAATATTTTCACCGATCATCCTTTATAAATATCATAGATACATGAACTTGGGAACAGGACAATTTTTTGTATCCCTCCCCCTTTTTCTAAAATTCGTTATTTTCTTAATCGTGATTCTTTCAATTTGAATTATTTCGCGTGTTTCTGTAATATATGAACCCATATATCAAATATACTAGAAATAACATGTATTTACTATTCACTATCAGCAAACAGGAAGTAGCTGCACGGCAGCTGTATGAAATGATTACACGCTACAACTCAACACTTATTGTGTTTATGACAAGAGACAAATTCTAAAGCTTGATTTTGAAATTCATTTTCAATATATCTTGGGGAGTATTACAACAGAATTATCATATCCTTCGTCTCATTAGGATTAACATTTATTAACCAATATTTAGACCATGTTGAAATATGTTCTAAGTCGCTGTTGAAGACACGCTCTATTTTGTATTGGCTATTACTGGAATAAGAAAAAATAAGAGCTTTCTCAGAAGCTTTTTCGCTTGATATTTTATGCATTTTTTCAACATTGTCACGGATAGCACATACAGTCATAGCTGTATGAGGGTGGTAAAGGATTATTTTCGTGCAACCTGTTTTGCCATTTTTATTTCACGTGCAGCCGTGAAAAAGGTTCGTTATTCACCGTGTTTCGTGAAATCGGTAAAAAGATCAACGTGCAAGAAATTTTTAATTGTTCGTACATCGTGAAATGACAATTTTATTTCGCGTTCTTCCGTGCAGATACCCTCCTTTACGCCCCTCTTTTATATGGAAATACAATATGATATTGGGGTGTCTCGTGATTGTTGTCAGCAAATCAAAATCATGGATTGTAATGAACATACGTGTAATGTAATTATTAGAATTTAAATTGTCAGAAACGTCAAACAATTTTGGGAAATGGAAGACTTCATATCTAGATTGAGATGATTAGATATAAAATTTTAAAACAAAAATTTTCACAGGGCAGAACGTTCTGTTGAATTAAGAATGGATTTGCCATATGTTAAATGCTTATGTAGGAGATTAATTTCATTCATCTCTTTTATTTAAAAAAAACTGATATAGGACAGAATATATATAACTTATATATATATCATACATGCAATATAATAATACAAAAATAATCGATTAAATTCAAATTCAAGAGAATGCTATCGCTTGGGATAAAATAATCGAATATGAATGCCCAACCCATGGTTAAATGGCCACAGACCACAATTAGTTCTTTATAACGCTTATTAAAAAAATGCACCAGGTCTTTTTGTCAAATTTTCATGCCCCCACAACTGAAAATTGGAGAACACATTGTTTTACCCCCGTTCGTCCGTCCGTCCGTCTGTCTGTCCGTCTTTCCGCCTGTCCTTCCGTCCGTCCCAATATGGGTATATAGTTATTCCAGATAACTCCTCCTACAGTTTCAATGCTAGAAAGTTTTCACTTTGCTGGCTGTTTGTACATATATTGAAGGTGTGCATGTGGTCAGTGTTTTGATTTTTATTGATATTTGCTCTTTTGGGAGATAGTTGAACTTTGTCATTTTTTGGAGTATTTACTTGCATAAGAGGTGCATAGCGTTTCCGGATAACTCCTCCTACAGTTTGAAAGCTAGGAAATTTTCAATGTGCTTGCTGTTTGTACATATATTGAAGGTGTGCATGTGGTCAAGAATTTGATTTTTGTTCATATTTGCTCTTTTGGAAGATAGTTGAACTTTATTTTTTTGGAGTATATACTTGCATTAGAGGTGCAAAGCGTTTCCGGATAACTCCTCCAACAGTGAACCATAGACCTATGTGCTCCCATGCTCAATTTTGTGTATTTTAAAATAACACTTTGCATCTGCGGGGGCATCATTTGTGTCTACCAGACACAATAATATCTCTACAGTGAACCATAGACATATGTGCTACCATGCTCAACTTCGTGTATTTTTAAATTACACTTTGCATCTGCGGAGGCATCATTTGTGTCTACCAGACACAATAATATCTCAAAGAAAGTTCTACATTGACTTCGTTATAATACAGTTACTTCAGAGTGGAGTGCGGGGGCATCGCTTTGTCTAGTTTATGTGTGTAATGTACAGGTGCATAGCGTTTCCGGATAACTCCTCATTCAGTGAACCATAGACCTATGTGCTCCCATGCTCAACTTTGTGTATTTTAAAATAACACTTTGCATCTGCGGGGTCATCAATTGTGTCTCCCAGACACAATAATATCTCACAGAAAGTTTTACATTGACTTTGTTATAATACAGTTACTTCAGAGTGGAGTGCGGGGGCATCACTTTGTCTAGTTTAAGTGGGTAATGTACAGTACAAGTCCAAAAATAAATCCAGCATTCAGAAAAATTGCATAATTAGCCAATACACATCAATACCCCTATGGACAAGTCAAGAGATGTTCCGAAAACTATAAATAATACCTTTTTGCATCCGGCCTAATCACTCTTTCCATACAAAATCAGTTAAAATACAACACCCAAAAATTTATTTCAGCGTTCATTTTTCATTTCCAAACCATAAAAACTAAGAAATGAATGAGAAAGGGAACGACAAAAAAAAAGAATAAAGAAAAAATACACTATAATTAAAGGGAACTATAATTGGGGTCTTGGGTCAAATGAAAACAAATTTACGGCTACCATGAATTATTTCTTGATTAATTTTTATTCTTACATGTGTATCTTTATTTATATTTTTTTATTTCTTTGACACCATTGGAAGCTCTCTGTGTTTTATATTGTACACATCTAGTGTTAGAGGTTGATGAAATCTTGCATTGTCTTTACTTTTATTTTTCATGATGTCCCAGTAGTCTTATGGATTATAACTTCATGTTTCTGTCTTTTTATTAAATGATTTGTTTGTAATTTGTTTTCTACATTTTACGCAGTCACACAGTCTGATAACTCAATTATCAGATATTCGTCACAATGATATATATTTGTAAGTTAATATTTGAAGCCTTTTTAAACTCTGTTTGCTTGGCTCATCTGCATACAGGGACTTTACAGCATCAAGATGCAAACAACCTGACAAGTCGGCATGACGGTTTGTACAATTATGTTATTACATCAGAAATCTGCGACAGTCTTGTTTGGATTTCAAACTTCTTTACGGTTTAGTGGCAGTTTTTCTTTTCGCATATTCAACAATATTTCGTGCTCGTCGATTACATTCCAACTTTACTACAGTACCTATTCAAATAAATAATGGAATAGCTATCGTAGACCAATTTAAATATCCCGCTTAGTTTACTGATAAAATTAATGATGAATGATCGTCTATGACGCGATACAAGTTCTAATATATAAACCTTTCCACTTCCTGTCAAAATCCAACATTGTGTAAATTTGTATACAAAAGATTTGTAGAACTGTCACCATTGGCGTATTCAGGCGGGGGCGTGGCGGGCGTGTGCCCCCTAAAATTTGCAAAGCATGGGTTGTCCTCAGCTTAATAAAGAATATTTCGATAATTTTACCTCAAAACAAATTTAAGTATGCGCGACCCCCCACCCAAACCTAAAACCCTGGATCCGCCTCTGGTCACACAGGTCAGGGTTTGTTAAGGGAACGAACATTGGATTTTCTTGGAGGGTCCATTTCACGGACGGAATAATTATTTTCACCTGTTGCCAGGCTGGCTTTTTATTTACTTTCACTTTTGTACACATTTATATCCGGCCTTTATCATGTTTATTTTCTCTAGTGGTAACCCCTGAAACGTAAGTGTGCCATAAATATCGAATGCACGTCGAACGGAAATTAATGCATTTCTTCATTACAAGTTGCATCATAAAATAACTCACTAATGAGTTTTATTCAGTATCCACAATCCAGCACAAACGGAGCATCGCTAAAAATATAACTATCTACAGACGTAAACAACGTCTTAGCATGAATTTGTCATATTGGAGTCTTTATTAGTCTTTAGATCTGAGGACAACAGACCCATATCAGACTGGTTCATGATACTTATGTAGAAAATTTAATCTTAAAATTGTGTATTAAGTTAATTGATTATTTGTATGTATTCTTGTATGCATGTATTTTATTTTTTATTGCTAGACCATTATGGGTGCCATTTTAATCATGTATAGAAGAAAAATGCTGATAACATTAATGTTAACACCGAGGGTCTTGATGGGGACCCTTCATTTCCGTATTGCTAATTATTTCTGTATGTTTTCTCTATTCTTTGTCATTGTTTATTATTTTGCTCTACTTTTCTCTATTCTTTATCCTTGTTTATTATTTTGGTCTACTTTTTTTATTTTTTTGCCCATTATTCTGCAGAATTTGCCCATTAATTATCTAATATGAAAACCTCATCTAGACTCTCATCAGTCTTGGTAAAATTTATCAAATATTTAAATTGATCAAACGGATATCAAAAACACTGACAACCCGTTGTATTACATGTATAAAATACCTTCTTAACCCCAATCTCTCACAACCGGAAGCAAATATTGTTCCTGGGGCGTGGGCCACCTTAAGTATGTATTGTGCGTTATTGTTGTTTAGTTTCGATCTCAAATCACAAGAAGATGTCTCCTTTTTAGAGTTATTGC